AAGCAAAAAGTATACAAGCTGAATCTTGTGGTTACATCGTGATAAAGATTGTGGTGTTACTACCAATTATTTTAATTTAATCTGTCAATAGCTTTTATTTAAAACTTTACTAAGGATGGGATTACTCATTCTTACAGCACTGTGACATCAGGAAACTAAATTACCAAAAGCTCTCTTTTATAAGCATAACGATTATAATAAACACTCACCTATCTGTAGCTTTCCCTTACACTTAAAATATTCTTTCAACAAAGGATGAACCACCCTGAAAATCTATCATATTCAATCAGCATGTTCTAAGTAGAAGCTATGGGCAAGACAATGTGCTAGGTATATGGGAGGACAAAGGGTAGTCTAACAGTGTCCTTACCCTCAAGGAGTTTACAATCTAATGAAGAAGCTAGGTATTCACACATGTAAAGGAAAGATGCAGACGACTACAAGTATCAACAACAAAGAGATCACTTTCAGTTGGGGTGATCAGAAAATGCTTCTCAGCTACGTGGAATTTCAGGTGAACCCTTGGGTAATGGGATTGTGATAGAATTTGCTAGAAAGAAAGTGTGATGAGGAAAACAACTTTCGAGGACAAGAACTTTGTTTTTCAGAGTTGCTGCCTAGCCATTTTACAGTATGATATCTGTAATCACACCCAGAGTCTGGACATTTAGATAAGGATTTGAGTTTAGGATGCCCATCACAAGTCCCTGCTTTGCTTTTCCCTGGGCACCTTTAAAAATAACCATTAGAGGGGGAACCTGGGTGGCTCAGCTGGTTAAGCGACTGCCTTCGGCTCAGGTCATGATCCTGGAGTCCCTGAATCGAGTCCCACATCGGGCTCCCTGCTCAGCGGGGAGCCTGCTTCTCCCTCTGACCCTCCCCCATCTTGGACCCTCTCTTTCTCCTTCTTGCTCAATCAAATAAATAAAATATTGGGCGCCTGGGTGGCTCAGTTGGTTAAGCGACTGCCTTCGGCTCAGGTCATGATCCTGGAGTCCCGGGATCGAGTCCCGCATCGGGCTCCCTGCTCGGCAGGGAGTCTGCTTCTCCCTCTGACCCTCCTCCCTCTCATGCTCTCTGTCTCTCATTCTCTCTGTCTCAAATAAATAAATAAAAAATCTTTAAAAAAAATAAAATTAAATAAATAAATAAATAAATAAATAAATAAATAAATATTAAAAAAAAAATAACCATTAGAGGTAAGCCCTCCAAATTACTGACCTCCACACCAATCACCTTGTAAGTAATAGGTGTTTGCTATCCTACTCTGTATCTCCTGTTCATGACCTGGGACAGAAGACTGCCCTCTCCCTGGCTCACTGGGCCCCATGGTTTCAGTTACCAGGGTCAACCACAGTCTGGTCTGGAAGCAGATGATTCTCCTCCTCATGTACGGTCATAAGGTTACAATAGTAGCCTAATGCTACACCACAATGCCTAGGTCATTCATCTCACTTCAGCTAGTCACATAGCATTTTATCATCTCATATCATCACAAGAAGGGTGAATACAGTACAGTAAAATACTTTGAGAGAGACCACATTCACATAACTTTTATTACAGTATATTGTTATAATTGTTTTATTTGTTGTTAATCTCTTATGAGGCCTAATTTCTAATTTAAACTTTCTCACAGGCATGTATGTATAGAAAAAAACATAGTATATATAGGGTTCAGTACTACCCTCAATCTCAGGCATCCACTGGGATCCTGGCATGTAAACCCCACAGATAACGGGGGACTACTGTACTTCCACTGTATGGGTGTATTGAAACTGCACCTTCAACTGAAGTGACCCCTTGGGATTTCACTTCCCCAAAGTGGGAGCTCAGATGCTGAGAAAGCTATCTGCCAACTACCTGGGTGGCTTGTGCCCCCTCATTCATCAGGTCATAACCTACATATTCTTAACTCAGTACACCCACTCTGGCTTCCCAACACAGAAAGCAAGCACAAGAAACCAGAAAACAGCATGAACAGCATGTGTAGAAGTTTTTTTTAATTAACTTTTTATTATGAAAAATGTTAACATGTCAAAGTATACAGAATAAAATAAACCTCCTTACATCACTAAGCTTCAACAATTACCACCTCATGGCCAATTTTGCTTTAGAATTTACATATCTTATTATATGAAAATCCTGGGGCACCTGGCTGGCTCAGTCGGTGGAGCTTGTGACTCTTGATCTCAGGGTTATGGGTTCGAGCCCCATGTTGGGTGTAGAGATTCTTAAAAATAAAATCTTTAAAAAAAAAAAAAAAGAGAGAAAAGAAAATCCTAAGGAACCTATTTTCATTCTTCTGACATCTACTTTCTATATTCTTCACTGACTCGATCCTCAGACAATACCTCAGACTGCCACAACAGTCCCCACGAGGTTGATTTTCCTAAAGGCAACATACAAATGAAGTACAAGTCCGTTTAAAAACAAAACAAAACAAAACAAAAAAACCCCTCCCATTTACACAAACCAAAGGAACAGTGACAAAGATATTGCAAAATGAGAGATAATCCAAAGCTCAGTTCACATGTACTTCTGGAATACCTTTTTCCACACTTACATTACAAGGAGAATGAAAACAATGATGGGAGAATTTGTGTCAAACAAAATAAAGCATCACAGGTGAAGTATCTTGGACAAATCACTTGGCCTCCTGAGCCTAAGTTTCCTCCTCCATAAAACAGAGAATGATCACCTACCTCAGGGACTGGTAAGAATTATACCTATACTTTACATGGATAATTACCTATGGTAACTATCAGAACCTAGAAAGCTGCCTGGTTTCCCAATCCTCTCTCCTCATACACCTCCCTCTCTCAAGATGATGCAAAAACTTTCTCCATCTCAAAACTTGCTAAAGGTGAGAAACTAATAAGCATTCTGATTTCAAGGAGCTTCTCTAGCAAAAGGAGCTGAGATTGAAGTATTTCAGTAGGATAAATATTATAAACTACCAAACTTCACAAAATAGTCCCACCTTAACTAGTAGAGCTGTCCAACATCACATACAGAGTGTGGCCAAACTAGTAAAACCCTCTCATTTTCCCCACTTCTTGGCCAGTGTCTACTCCTTCAACCATCCACAGTCTCTATATGGCACAGTAAAAGCAGAAGGGCAGCCATCAGGACTCTCAGCTGGGCCAGTTAGTGTTAAGAGCTCAAGATGAGTTAGTTAAGTTAGTTATGGATATGTGCATAAGAAAGCTCAAACTGTAATCTTGTGTTCCATATTACCTGCTAAGAAGAGGCAGCTCACTGTTGCTCAAAACTATCCAATTAGTTAACGCTTTTAAAAATACATCTGCAGTCACAACTGTTCACCAATGTTTTAATTCTTCTTTTAGTGTTAACTTTTTTTCAGACTCTCACTTATCTTCTTTTTGAGCACTGAAGTTCCCTTTTGAATTATGATCTTCCATCAGCAATCAATCCTCTTTCCGTATGTGAAGACACAATGAGTTCCTAACTTAGCTATCATAACCTCAACCACCACAAAGCATCCACTCCATTAAAGCCCTTTACCTAAAACCGTTCTTTATTTTCATATATTACCCATTTCTTTGCTGTTCCCCTAACTCACATATCACCCATTTCTTTGCTGTTCCCCTAACTATAATGTAATAAAAAGTAACACTTTACAGTTTGCCGTGTGCTTTGTAAAGTTATTCATTTAATCTTTACAACCTATGAAAAAGGCAATTCCCCTATTTAATAGGTAAGGGAAAAGGGATGGAGAACTTACTATCTTGCCCAGTTATAAACTCAGTGGTGAACAGGACTTCCAAACAAAGCCTTCCAACTCCAAAAGCCATGCTCGTCCCACTCAATTATTCTCTTTTCTAACAAGGGAAAAGAGTACAATTCTGTCCCAAACCACGTTTGCTTCAAAGAGTAAACCATCTTCAATCTCTCTAGATTGCAAACCAGATTTCCCATCCCACACCTACCATCCCATTTCTTCCTTTCTCACCCGCGGGTTATTGCTTCCTCCCCACTACCCAATTTCTACTCTTCAAGGAAACTATCATCATTCCTTCAACCCCTCCTGCAAATATTCCACCTCCACATGCTAAAGAGAAGCCTCTCACCCCCTCTCCCCAAACACTGCACTTCCTTCTCAGGATAGGTAAGTTCTCACTCCATCAACTACATAGCACACTTCTCAGTCCTTAACAAGCTATTTAATAACTTTGGAAGTCCCATAAAAATGGACATAACTTGCAGATCTTACATCTCCATACCTGATCCAGGGCAGCAGACCACTTTAAACTCTGAAGAAGAGTACCAACCCTCACAAAGATTCTGCTCATGCCCCACCGCCACCAACGACTTCCTTTCCAGAACGTGGTTATTCAAACAGAATCCCCTTCCAACCTCTTCACAAGGGACTCCCTTCCATGGTTCCCAAGACGCTCCCTCCTTCCGCTGTTTTCCTTCGGTCACACCCGGGCCTCTGCCCACCCCACCAACTCTCCCTTCACTCGCCAGCCAGGTGCTAAGCAGCAGCTCCAGTTAGACGGCTCCTCCTCTCACACAACTTCCAAGTTCAGCCTTTTATCACCTGTTTTTCCCACCAGCTTCCTCGCAGCTCGGTGGCCCACCCTTGCCCCGGCCCGCCTCTGCCCACCCTTCCAACCCTCCTGCCCAGGAACCACCCCCGCAAGTCAGTCCCGGGGTGCCCACGAGATTCAACTTCCCATCCGTGGGCTTCCCACCTTTGGGGTCATGCTCCCCTTCTCCATCACCTGCTCCGCCCATGACCAAATGACATCCGCCGCGGCCGCCGCAGCCGCCGCCTCCATCCCCCGTCTTGGACTCCGGGTCCCCGGCCACTGACCGCCTTCCACGAGCGCCAGCCGCCCCCTCTGGTGGGGACGAGGGGGGCGTGCACCCCCAACTCCCACCCCCCCACCAACGCGCACCTGTTCCTCCTCCTCCTCTTCCCCCTCCCCCCCCCCGGCTGCGCCGCGCCCCGGCCTCCCAAGCTCCGCACTCACCACGAGTAGGTCTGCTCCGCCATGGCGCTGACTCTCGTGGGCTCCGCTGCAGGCTCTGGCCGGGCCCCGCGGCGGCGGGGGAACGAACGGGCGGCGGGCTCGCTCGGGCCGGGAGCGGAAGGCGCGGCCGCGGCCCGGCGCTCGCTCGCTGGCTCACACGGCGGGAGGGCCGGGAAGGCGGCTGGCGGGGAGAGGCCGGGCTCCGAGGCTGCCCCGCTCCCTGGGCCCCGGGGCGGGGCGGGCTCCGCTCTCGGCCTCCCTCACCGGCGGCGGCGGCGGCGGCTCCGCTGCGGCTCTAAACCCAACATGGCGGCGGCGGCGGCGGCGCTGAGAACAAGGGGGCCCCGGGGCGGGCGAGCGGCGAGAGGGCCCCGCGCTCACTGCGCGCTGGGCCGCGGGAGCGCCGCGTTCGAGCGGCGGCGGCGGCGGCCGAGGGACATGGCCGGCGGGCGGAGGCGGCGGCAGCGGCGGCTGAGGGGGGCGCTAGGCGGTGAGGCGAGGCGGCTCGGCTCACACCCGCTGAGGGGAGGAGAGGAGGGGGCGGGGGCCAGCCTTGGACCCGCGCGGGTCACGTGCCCAAAACACGCTCACGTGACGCGCGCGCCCCGCCCCTCGCGCCGGGCCCTTGCGCGAGACGTTGGTTCGCTGGTTCGAGGCGACTGTTGCTCACCCAGCTTCTGGCGGTTGATCCGCCTCCCGTCGCTTGGTTCCGCCTCCCGTCGCTTGGTGCCGCCTCCTCCTCACGCGCAGCGGTCGCCTCAGGCCCCCTCCCCTTCCCCTTTAAGGGGCTGCAGCCGCCAGCCAATCAGGAGCCCCGATGCACGTCCGTTGGCTGCCACTCAGCTGTCAGCCGTCAATCAACAGTGTGCGGGCCGAGGGTCCCCCAAGTGTCAGTCAACCTGTCAGTCCGCAGTCGGAGCGCTGCATCCCTTGGTTCGTTTGTTCGTTGGTTCATTCATTCGTGTAGCAAATGTTCCAGGCAGCCAAACTTTATTGCGCCAGGCTCTGTGCCAGGTCCTCAGGGTGACAACTCGAATACCCCATACTTGCCTTCATATAATCAATCAACAAATATTTATTGGGAACCAACCATGTATCAAATGATTCTGCTGGATCTCTGCCCTTCAAGAGCTTACATTCTAGAGGAAGAGACATAGTCCAGGCCGACATATAGGTGAAGATAATTCCAGATGCTAAGTTTCATGAAGACGATAACTCCAGGTAATGGGACAGAGTGTGTATGGATGGAGGTTACCTTTAGATAAGTTAGTCAAGGAAGACCTAGCTGAGGAGATGACATTTAAGTTGACACCTGAAGGATGAGAAGGAGCTGGTCATGCAGGAGCAAAAAGCTCAGGGAACTGCCCATCGGCATGCCTGGAGGCAGGCACAAAGTAAACATAATAGAGCTAGATCAGAGACCAACAGAGTGAATCTGGGGCATAGGAGGAGAGAGGAGAGAGATGTATTGAGCATCTGGGCATTGAGGGATGCTTCTCCAGGAGTGGCTTACTAGGAGAAAAGGCATTCTATGAAGAGAGAATGGCGTGAGGCAAGGCCCAAAGATGTGAAGGCTTGGAGTGAACTTGGATCCAGGAGTGGGATAGATGATTTGTGTTGGGGAGTATTGAAAGAAGGGACTGATAAGGTGCGGTGAAGCCAGGTTCTGAAGGGCCGAGCTAAGCCTCCTTGCCGGTTACTGTGTTCATGAATGAAAATGATCAGTGGAGCTCCAGGTTTGAGAAGCATGCTTGGGCAACAGACACACTAGCCCCCAGGGCCCCAGTCTCCACCAGGAGCAAAGCTCTCACACCTGAAACCAGCATATTCAGGCTCCTCTGCAGCTTGCCCAATTTCAGGCCGTGATCTAGCTCTGCTCCAATTTCCCAGGGCCTGCCCAGGCTTACAGGGAAACCACACCCTGAATCTATCTCCAAATGGATCAGTTGGCCATTGCCCATGCCTCTGCTGCTTGCCTGTTCCCCAAGGGGAACCCATTAATGAGAAAGCCAAGTACACTTTTCCTTCAGGAGCAATCTCTCCTTCTTCCTCCTTCCTCCACTGCCAGGTGCCAGGACAAGTCAGGTTCAACATGTCTCCTGAAGCTCCACTAGAGAGGCCTGGGAAAGGGCCTGCTGATAAGATCAAAGTCCCAAAGAGGGTTTGAGGCAGGGCCCTAAGAAAATACCAGACCACCAGGTGTCCTTCCTCTGACCATTGACAGAAAGATACCAGCCTGCAAATATCTGCCCAGCCATAAATTGCACTGGATGTAGGGATATCATGGGGAGATAGGAAGGCAGAGAGCCTAAATTCTTGCTGCTCATTTAGCTCTTACAGCTTTGCCAGGTGTTTTTACAGAACGCCAATATCCCCTTGAATGTGACACACAGTCATTCTGAGTCTCAAAGGAGCATGAGTGAGGCTCCAGGCCCCTCAGGAAAGGCCAGAAGCCATTGGTACAAGTGGCTTTGAGAGGTGCAGAAGCTTCTTGTCTGGAAAGCTAAGAACAAAACAGACCAGACATGTCACTAATCAAACAAAAAGAGACACAGAACCTTTGAGCAATTCACTTGGCTTTTAGTTCCCAGTGAGTCATTAACGGCAAAGCCAAGTGAAAAGTTGGTATCAGGTGGATGGGACACAAAGTGCCGAGGAACGAAAGTCGAGGCCTTCCCAGAAGCAATGGGACCATTCTTTGCACTGAGAAAAATATGGTGGAAGAAAGGAAGGAGAGAGAAGAAGTTGGGGTGAAGGTATGGGGTCAGAAATGAGAAGAAAGTTTTCTTCTCTCCATCTAAACCAGAGGCCCTCAAGATGTCTCTTCGGTAAACATGTGAATGCAGATTGTATAAGCAACCAAAGCATGTGACAGGACTAGGAGCATGTCCAGGCCACAGAGACCCTGTGTACGTGGTCCTAGGAAGACGGAGCATGAGCCCAGAGATTAGCGGCTTGAGATCTCAGGCCAAGGTTGCCAAGATGTAGAAGGCACGTCCAGGTCCTGGGCAGGATCTCTGCAGGCTTGAAGGCCAGACTGAAATAAATCTGAAGCCTGTGGCTTGGCTAGAGTCTGCTCAGCCTGGGGAACCTGGGGAGTGACTCTCAGTCCCCCTGCCAGCAGGGCTCAGCTCCAAGCTGGAGCCATCGCAGGTGTATCTCTGCACCTCTGGGCCTCAGCTGGGTAGTCAGGTATCCTTGGCAGGAGATAGATGCAGGCATTGGCTTCCCCCACAAGGGATGCCTGGCTTCTTCCCCACCCACACCCCCACCCCCCGAAGGTGAGAGGGTTTTATGCAATGTTTATTGAAAGAAGCAATGGAAGTTCCTCTAATTATCACCACGGTAATTATAGGATTGCTTCTTCTACCAAATGTGTTCAAAAGAGACTTGGTGAGTCTCCCCAAGACGCGTCATCTGCCTTAGGCACAGACTCCTGGGAGCAGGCTTTTCGGGTCTGGCTGGGCTGAGTAGGCGCTACTGAGAGGGTCAAAGGCTTGGGTCTGACTGGTCACTGCCTGCTTCTCCAGCCCATTTTCACCTCTATCCTCTACTCCCCCCCAACACGTACACACACACTCTCTATTTACATTCCACAGTGACCAGCTTGCAGCTTCCCAATGGGCTCCCATCTTTTTTGTTTCCAGATCTCTGACCAAGCCCAGAAGGCATTTCCATTTCTTCTTAACTGCTTCTCCTCATTTTGAGTGTTGGCTTCTATGTCACCTCCTCTGGCAGGGAAGTCTAACTTGACCAAACCTGGGCAAGGTTCGATACTCTTCCCCGGGACTCCCCCAGATCCCTGAATGTACATGTATGTAATGTGCATGTAACACTTAGCACGGTGAACTGTCCATGTCACTGCTTGTTTACTTGTCATTCTCTCCCTCTGGATTGGGACTGCCTTGGGGGAAAGAGCTGTGGCATGTTGCCAGTTACACCATCAGTTCCCAGCGTACAACTCAGCTCAGAGTAGAAGCTCAAACACTGTGGAATGAATGCTTGCGTGAGCAAGAGGGAAAACCAGGTTTCGAACCAGGACAACTGGTTTCGCCTGATATTCCCATGATTCTCTCCATGATCTCGTCCATATTCGGCATCCCCTCCTGTCCCCTGAAACCCACTTCCTGGCTGAGAAAGAGAATCCTTCAAGGCAGATAAATCTCTGTTAGAGATGTTATGGGAAGACAGAAGATTGGAAGTATAGGTTTAGGTCTATGGTGAACTTATAAGGCATCGGCTTACCTACATTGTTTGGCCATGGGTCTTTAAAAAAAAAACAAACTTAATTTTTTTAGAGCAGTTTTAGGTTTATAGAAAAATTGATGAGAAAGTACCAAGGGTTCCCACATACTCCCTCCCCCCTCAACATACAGTTTCCCTCATTATTTATATCTTGTATTAGTGTGGTACACTTGTTACAACTGATGGGCCAATAATGATATGTCATTATTAACTAAAATCCATAATTAACATTAGGTTTCACTTTTTAAAAATCTTTTTAAAAAAATAATCTCTACACCCAACATGCAACTCAAACTCACAACCCTGTGATCAAGAGTTGCATGCTCTCCTGACTGAGTCAGCCAGGTGCCCCTAGGTTTCCCTTTTTGTGTTGTACAATTCTGTGGGTTGTTGGTTTTTTTTTTAAGATCTTATTTATTGTCAGAGAGAACGAGCACAAGCAGGGGGAGCGGCAGGCAGAGGGAGAAGCAGGCTCCTGGCTGAGCAAGGAGCCAGATGTGGGACTTGAGCATCTCAAGTCTCAAGTCTCCTGGGATCATGACCCCAGCTGAAGGCAGACACCCAACTGACTGAGCCACCCAGGCATCCTGCAATTCTGTGGGTTTTGACAAAGATATAATGATATGTATCCATTACAGTGTCATACAGAATAGTTTCCCTGCCCTGAAAATCCCCTGTGCTTCACTTACTCATCTGTCCCTCCTTCCAAACCTTTGGTAACTTTTTACGGTCCCTGTGAGTTTACCTTTTCCAGAATGTCCTTTAGTTGGAATCATACAGCCTTTTTAGATTGGCTTTTTTCACTTAACAATATGCTTTTAAGGTTCCTCTATGTCTTTTTGTGGCTTCACAGTTCTTTTTTATCACTGACTAATATTCCATTGTATGAATGTACCAGTGTTTCTTTATCCACTCACCTATTGAAGGACATCTTGGATGCTTCCAGGTTTTGGCAAGTGTGGATAAAACATCTGTAAATATTCATGTGCATGTTTTTGTGTGGACATACGTTTTCAACTTATTTCAGAATATCATGAGTTTTTTAGAGGTGTGTTATTTAATTTCCAAATATTTGGGGCTTTCCCAGATATCTTCTTTCCCACAGATTCTGCTGTGGTCAAAGAATATATTCCATAAGATTTTAATCTCTGAAATGTGTCAAAACTTGTTTATGGCCCAGGATATGGCTTATTTTGATGAATATTCTATGTGCACTTGCAAAGAGTTTGTAGGGGCACCTGGGTGGGTCAGTCGTTAAGCGTCTGCCTTCAGCTCAGGTCATGATCCCAGGGTCCTGGGAT